GCCCGCACCCAGAGTGCTGCTTAGTGCCGCCGCTCCTGGCCCTCCTGCTCATCACGTGCTGTTTTCCATTTGCTTTCTTGCTGCCTGCACCGTGGAGCATGCCAGGGTGCCCACGTTCTTGATGCCAGCCCCTGCTCTGGCACTTTACAGGTGGATCTGGGGCTGGGCATCCCACTGTGCTTCTGGTGCCCAGCAGCTCGCAGCTTTCCCTCCAGGAGCACAGCAGTGCCCTCTCTGCCTACCTGCCTGTGCTTGTGCTGGATCTGCCCCCCAAAGTTTGCTCCCACAGCCCTCGGTGTGCCCTGGGGCAGGTGCCTGCAGCGAGCTGGGGCTGGCTGTCAGCTGGGAGCAGGGTACAACACGACCTTGGTGCTCTCTGCCTGCTTGACCTTGGCTGGAGTGGTGTACAGGGTCACCTGTGATGGTTTCTGTGGTGCTGCCAGGGGCTCTGTGCTGGAAGCAGCTGGATCTGTGCTTCCAGGTCTCTGAGGAGCATCCCTGTCTCCTCTCTGCTGCCACACTCCTCCATCCATCTCCTTGGCTGTCCTGCAGCCTGACAGCAGCATGCTGAGAGCAGCAGTGAGAGCGTTGCCTCCACAATGCCTTTGCCCCCTCAAGTGCTTTTGATGGGCCTGATCTTGTCCATGGAGGTGCCCAGGGAGATGTGTGGGGCTGCCTTTTCTCCTTGGAGCACCTTTTGGTGAAGTCCAAAGTCTCCCTCAGGCTCCTGACCCTGGGATGGCTGCTGTGGTGGGAAAGGTCCAAGTCCTTGTTGACACAGAAAAACGTGTCTTGCCAGTTTGTTGTCTTGTTCCCAAAAGCTCAGGGCACTTACAGGTGGCTGCCTGGGCTGGGTCCTCGGGGTGGCTGCAGCCCAGCAGAGCAAGAAGAGATCCTGAGAGGCTGCTGGGTGGTTTCTAGAGGGCTCACTACGGCCTCTTGGTGAGGAAGGTGAAGGTTTGCCCCCCACCCCCATGGGTTGCACAGTTGTTTCAGTTGTTGAGAGCTCAGTTCAGAGCCAGCTCAGTTCTCCTGCCCTCACAAAGCCCCACAGCTCCATCCAAACACCCCCGAGCTCTCTTGAGTCCCTTCAGGTGGCAGCCACTGATGGAACAGGCTCTCCTTCATCCCTGGGTGAGTCAGCTGTCCCCAGCGCTGCGTGTCCCTGCCCTGGGTCTCAGCCCCATGCCACAGCTGTGCCCCTCTGCCTGCCCTGGGGCCTGGCACACACAGCAGCTCCTGTTCCTGCTCCTCCCTGCCTGCAGGCACTGCTGGTGTCTCGGAGGGGCTGGGAGGGATGAGCCTGCCCCACTCAGGTGGAGGAGAACGGGGAGCTGGGCAGCAAAACGCTCCCGTGTCCCTGCCCAGCAGGAACGTGCTGGCCCCGAGAGCCAGCCAGGAGTGGCAGAAGCACTCACCTGTCCCCTGGGGGTGCTTGTGGAGAAATTTCCCTGCCAGGGACCCTCCTGTGAGCCCCCCATGGTGCTGGGGACACCTGACCCCTCTGGGGGTCACTGCCAGAGCCAGGTCCCTGCCCCTGCCCTCCCCACCCAGGGCCTGGCTCCATTCCACTGACTGCTCTTTATGCAGTGTCTCTTGTACCCAAATCCCTGTCCCACGGGGGGCTGAGAGCACAGACACAGACATTTAGGAGTTTGTTGTTTTTTTTTCAGCAATCATGCAAAGAATTGCACACTGTGACACAAATACGGGATTTGGAACCACAAATAAAAATGGTTGTGGTTCTGCCATTTTAAAAATAGCTTTGTCCTGTGCACTTCACAGTTCTCCTTCTATTGCCTTTCAATTCCAAATGAGTACTTAACCTCAGGCCTGACCTGTTCTGCACCAGAGAACCTGGTTCAGCTGCTGTGATGGATCCCAGTCCCAAACCCCAGCTCTCCCTGCTGTCCTTGTCCTGACCTTCCCTCCTCAGAGCCTGCTGAAGCACAGCTTGCTTTTGCCTGTCTTCTGTCTCCCTGAGACCCTCAGGGGACCTGCCCATCCCTGTCCCCTGTCCTGAAGGCAGCGTCTGTCTGTCCACAGCCCCACTGTTTGTGCTTTCCAGCTTTAGCCTGGCACTATTTCTGTCCGAGGTGCTGCGGGTGCTGGGGAAGGAGGAAGCAGGGAGGAAACCAGAGGCCCAGAGTGGGGTCTGGCTGTAAATACCTGGCTGTGAGATTTTCCTCTGGGAACCCCTTGGGGTTCCCCAGGTGGGCAGGAGCAGCAGGCCCTGCTGTGCCTGCCCTGGCTCTGGCACCCAGGTAAGCTCAGCCAGCAGCCCTGGGGCTGCAGGGCACGGGGAGGGCAGTGAGGAGCTGGCACCCAGTGCTGACAGAGAGGGGGGCTTGGGGGGTCCCTGGGGCTGTGGATGTGGCTGGAGGGACAGTGCTGAGCGCTGGCTCTGTGCCCCACCATGGTGTTGCTCTGAGTGCCAGTTCCGAGCCAGGGATGGGGCAGCCCTGTGAGTGCTGCAGAGGGCACAGAGCACTGCCAGGCTGGGCACAGCCTCCTGCTGCAGGGACAGCAGCCGTCCCCACCCTCCCTCCTCCTGCAGCTGGCCTCAGCTCCTGGTGCTGGCTGTGCTGGGCTCCTCAGCAGCCAGCTCCTGGCTCACAGGAGGGGCTGGATTGTTGCCACCATTGCCACCAGCTCCTCGTGGTCCCCGTGCCACCACCCCCAGCGTCCTCCTCCGCCCTGAGTGGGTGCTGGAAGGAGAGGACACGGTGTGCCCATGCTGTGTGCCATGTCTGTGCTGGCAGCCCTGCCTGCCCTGCCCCTGCTGGTGCTGCTCCAGCCCAGGATGGGTTTGATGCCCACATTTAACGGGGAGAGTATCAGCACAGGGCTGGGAGCTGCTGGCACTGGAGTCATGTGGAAGGAACGATGCCAAGCGAGCCCAGCAGCCCTGGCATGGCTTGGGGCACAGCCTTGCCTCCCCCAGACCTCAATCCAGGTGCTCTGGGAGAGGTGGCCTTGTGTTGGAGCTGGGCATGGCACAGTGAGGGCTGTGCTGGCACAGCTGCTCCAGCTGGGGTCCGCTCTGGCTGAGCTGGGACAGCCCTGGCACCCATAACTCCCCATTTCACAGCCTCCTCATGCCCTTGCAGGTTTGTGGGGTGCAGTGAAGCCTCTGGGCACCCCCAGTGGGTAGCAGAGGGCCAGAGGGGTGGTGGTGGCTGTGGCACTGGGCAGGGAAGCCGGTGTGTGCTGCTGGCCCTGCAGGGGTTCGGGTGCTGTTTTCCTCCTTCCCTATGAAAGGTCCCATTCATGCTGCTGCAGCAGGCTCAGGTTCTCCTCTGGGCTGAGCCTGTCCCTGAGCATGTATTAAATGTGGGGGGATTATGGAGCAGCTCCAGCCAAGCCTTGGGGCCGCCTGTGATGCAATGAAAACGTTACGAAAGCCGAGGGGATTGATGGCTGGTGGCCACTGGCCAAGGGGCCGAGGCAGCTCTGGCAGCTCTGCTGGGGCAGCTCCAGTTTCTTTGGCCTCTGAACGTGGGCTGGGCAGGGGTCCCAGGCTGTGCAGCAGCTGAGCTCTGCAGGACCCCAGGCTGTGGTGGGGCTGTCACTGCTCCTCCTGCTCCTCCTGCCCAGGGCTGAGCATTCCCTTGGGGATGGAGCTGCCTCCTGCAGCCCTGCCCAGCCAGCTCCCCTCTCCCTGCACCCCGGGGCTGTGTCCCTCCAGCATGAGGGGCTGTCCCCTCCGCTGGCCCCTGCCCCAGCTGCAGTCAGCACCCTCGGCTTGTGTTTCCACTTTAATTAACTCGAGCAGGAGGAACATGGAAAAACCTGGGCTGGAGCCTCCCCCGCCTGCTTTCCCCAACAAAGGCCTCATTGAGGCTGGCCCTGCACAGAGCCCAGGGTTGCTGCTGCCCCGCTGGGGGCAGAAGAGCCGTGGCCATGGTGTCTGCACAGGACAGGGTGGCAGCAGCCTCTGCAGAGTCCCCAGATGTCCCCTCCAGCTGCAGGATGGGGTTCCCTGTCCCCAGGCAGCTCCAGCTGGGGGCTGAGTGAGGGGAGTGGGATGGGTGGGCTCAGCACAGGGCAATGGGGAACTGCTTGGGTGCACCCACCCAGAGTGGTGGGCTGGTGGGGGACCAGCCCAGAATGGCCCAAACCATGTGTGTGCCACTGTGCTGGGGCCACAGAAGCCTCCTCTGCCTTGTATGGGGTCGTGAGGGTCTTTTGTGGCCCCTGTGCCCAGCAGGACCCCCCGTGTGCCCCCCTGACACCCCCCCTGGCTCCCACAGACACGGAAGCTGTCCAAGACGGAGCGGCAGCGGTTCAGCGAGGAGGTGGAGATGCTCAAGGGGCTGCAGCACCCCAACATCGTCCGCTTCTACGACTCCTGGAAATCAACCATCAAAGGGCAGATCTGCATCGTGCTGGTCACGGAGCTCATGACGTCTGGCACTCTGAAAACGTGATTGGGGCGGGCATGGGAGGGAATGGGGTCCCTGCTCTTTGTTGTGGGGTCATCTGGGTCTGGATGGTGATGGGAGGAGGGTGGGCTGGAGCCAAGGCTTGGCCACGAAGCTGAGCCCCACAGGTCTGAGTCCTGTTGGTCCCAGGCAGGTATTTGAGGTCCTGTTGGTCCCTGACAAGTATTTGAAGCCCTGTTGGTCCCTGGCAGGTATTTGAGGCCCTGGTAGTTATTTGAAGCCCTGATGGTCCCTGGCAAGTATTTGAGGCCCTGTTGGTCCCATGCAGATATTTGAAGCTCTGCTGGTCCCAGGCAGGTATTTGAGGTCCTGTTGGTCCCTGGTGGGTATTTGAGGTCCTGTTGGTCCCTGGCAGGTGTTTGAAGCCCTGTTGGTCCCTGACAGTATTTGAAAGCCCTGATGGTCCCAGGCAGGTATTTGAGGCCCTGGTGGGTATTTGAGGCCCTGTTGGTTCCAGGCAGGTATTTGATAGTCCCTGACAAGTATTTGAAGCCCTCTTGGTCCCAGGCAGGTATTTGAAGCCCTGTTGGTCCCTGGTGGGTATTTCAGGCCCTGGTGGTCCCAGACAGGTATTTGAGGCCCTGGTAGGTATTTGAGGCCCTGTTGGGTATTTGAGGTCCTGTTGGTCCCTGGTGGGTATTTGAGGCCCTGTTGGTCCCTGGCAGTATTTGAAAGCCCTGTTGGTCCCTGGCAGGAATTTGAGGCCCTGGTGGGTATTTGAGGCCCTGTTGGTCCCAGACAGGTATTTGAGGCCCTGGTAGGTATTGGAGGCCCTTTTGGTCCCCGGCAGGTATCTGAAGCGCTTTAAGGAGATGAAGCTGAAGGTGCTGCAGCGCTGGAGCCGGCAGATCCTCAAGGGTTTGCATTTCCTGCACACTCGCTCGCCCCCCATCATCCACCGTGACCTCAAGTGTGACAACATCTTCATCACGGGCCCCACGGGCTCCGTCAAGATCGGGGACCTGGGCCTGGCCACGCTCAAGAGAGCCTCCTTTGCCAAGAGTGTGATAGGTGGGGGCTCCTGGGGGCTGTGGGGGCTGCAGGGGTGGGCAATGTGGGGGTGCTGAGCTCCCCTGCTCCCCCAGGCACCCCCGAGTTCATGGCCCCCGAGATGTACGAGGAGAAGTACGACGAGGCCGTGGACGTGTACGCCTTTGGGATGTGCATGCTGGAGATGGCCACCTCGGAGTACCCCTACTCTGAGTGCCAGAACGCCGCCCAGATCTACCGCAAGGTCACCTCGGTGAGGCCCGGCCCCAGTTTGGGGTGCTGCCATGGTCAGCTGCCCATTCTGGGGGGAACCACAGCCCTGTGTGTGTGTCACTGTGCTGGGGACACAGAAGCCTCCTCTGCCCTGGGTCTTTGTGGCCCCCTGTGCTTGGCAGGACCCCCTGTGTGCCCTCCTCATACCCTCACTGTTTCCCAGCTCCGCACTGGAGCTGCCAGGCCTTGCTGCTGACGAAATGTGTCACTGTGTGGGTTGTGTCAGCAGCTAAAGGCAGTGAGGGGTTGCTCTGCCAGGCCATGGAGCTGTGGCTGGTGGTGGTGGGGCATGGCTTGGCCAGACCCCACATCCCTGGCTCTGCACCAATGTGTTAATGGGGTGGAACAGGAGCAGTCTGCTCAGTCACCCTGGCTTTGGGCACTGCAGCTGCCCTGACCGGTCCTGGCCAGCTCCTGCCTGTTGAGGTGGAAACTCTGAGCCCTGGGGCATCCTGGCCACATGCAGGCACACGTGGCCTGGCCACAGGGGCCATGCAGAGCTCATGTGGCCCTGGGCTGGTTGTCCCCTGGGCGCTGGGCTGGCACAGGAGGTGCTCACTGTCATTACCCCCAGGGCCTGAAGCCCAGCAGCTTCTACAAGGTGAAGGTGCCCGAGCTGAAGGAGATCATTGAGGGCTGCATCCGCATGGACAAGAATGAGAGGTGGGGACAGAGCAGGGTCGGGGTGGCAGGGCAGGGTCCCCCTGGCCCCGAGCCCACTCTGAGCCTTGCCCTCTGCAGGTACACCATCCAGGACCTGCTGGAGCATTCCTTCTTCCAGGAGGACACTGGGGTGCACGTGGAGCTGGCTGAGGAGGATGACGGAGTCAAGTCTGGGCTCAAGCTCTGGCTGCGCATGGACGACACGAAGAAGCTGCACGGCAAATACAAGGACAACAACGCCATCGAATTCCTATTTGAGCTCTACAAGGACGTGGCAGAGGAGGTGGCTCAGGAGATGGTGGGTACAGAGATGGAGGAGCCCTGGGGCGCTGTGGGGTCCCTACTCAAGTGACAATCTCCCTCGTGTGCAGGTGGTGCTGGGCTTTGTCTGTGAGGCTGACTACAAGCTGGTGGCCAAGGCGGTGCGGGACCGTGTGGTGGCCATCAAGCGCAAGAGGGAGAAGCTGAAGCGTGCCCAGGGCGCTCCATCCCCCGCAGAGCCAGAGCAGCCGCCAGGTGTCCTGCGCCTCCTGGAGGAGCTCAAATCTCCGCTGCCACCTGGCGGCCCCACGCCCGCCCCGGCCACCCCCGGCTCTGGGGACTCTGCCTTCAGCAGCACCTTCCCCCTGGAGCCCGAGGAGCCCGAGGCTGACCAGCACCAGCACTTCACCTACCGCCACACCAGCTACTCCTCGGCCACCTGTGCGTAGGCACCGAGGGGGCACAGCCGGGTGGGCAGCAGTGCTGGGAGGTGGGTGGGGGGTCCATCAGCTTCTTCCACCCCACAGCCCTTCTCCAGCTGCCTGTCCAGGGGAGGGACTGCCTTGCTTCATCCCAGCTCTCCTCCACAGCCGACTGTGAGACCGATGGGTACCTGAGCTCCTCAGGCTTCCTGGACTCGCCAGACCTGGCCCATCGCAGCTTTGTGGCTGTGGACCCCACCAGCCCTCCTCCCAGCCGGCCTGTGCGCTGCTTCCCCACGGTGAGCACGGGCTCAGGGGGGCTCAGGGGGGCTCAGGGCAGTTGTGGCACCAGCTCACCCCCTCCTCTCCTGCAGAGCATCGCCGTGCAGCTGCCCACAGAGCATTTGCCCCCTGCCAGTGGCTTCTCCTCCTCGGTAGACAGGTGAGGCTGAGGGGCTGGGCAGGGAGGGTGGTGCTTGGGAATGGCCGTGCTGATGCTCTGGATCTGGGGATTCCTGCAGCTACACCTCGGATGTGGCATCAGGCATGAGTGATGGCTATGAGGGGCTGTCAGCCAGCGAGCAGAGCACCAAGCTGCCCCCCAAGAGAGCCTCGGGGAAGCTGCTGCGGCGCCGAGCCCGCTCCAGGCTGCGCATCACCAACGTGAGTGCCACCAGAGCCAGGCTGGGGACAGGCAGGGGACAGGCAGGGCCAGGTGGGTTTTCCTGGGCTTGAGCCAGCCCTGCCACCCACAGATCTCCGACAAGAACGACCGAGTGGTGGAGTGCCAGCTGCAGACCTACAACAACAAGATGGTGACCTTCAAGTTCGACCTCGATGGGGACAACCCCGAGGAAATTGCAGCCGCCATGGTGACAGCAGGGGGAGGGTGAAGGTGGGGTGTGCCTGGCTGGGCTGGGTGCTGATGGACCCCTGCACACCCTCAGGTGCACAATGAGTTCATCCTCAAGTCGGAGAGGGAGAGTTTCATCAGCCGCATCCGGGACATCATCCACCGCGTGGAGACCCTGCTGCGCAAGGACCGCGGTGGCACCGAGCTGCCCAAGGGCCCCGAGGCTGACAGTGCTCTGGGCAGCCCTGTGAGTGCCAGCCTGGCCCTGCCAGCGCTGGGGAAGCTGCTGCTGCTGCTGGGCATGGCTTGGGGTGCTGCCTGGCCCCAGGGAGTGCGGGGTGGCGTTGGGGTGCAGCGTCCTCCTGTGGTCACTTGGCCGCTCCTGTGACAAGTCAAGGTGTTCCCCAGCACAGAGGAGATTCCAGCTCCTGTCCCCGGGGTGGGGGCCAGTGGGGGCTTGGCACAGCCTGGCTGGGGCCTCTGCCCCAGTGCTGGGCTCAGCTCACCCTTCTCACAGGTGGACCTGCAGCTGCAGGGGCTCTCGCGCTCCATCTCCTCCTCATCCTCACTCAGTGGTACGTCTGTGCCCCTCTGCCGGCCCTTCCTGTCTCCCCCAGCCCCGTGCAGGGCAGGTGATGGCCTCAGCCAAGCCCTGAGGGTCTCAAAGGACACGTCCTGCCCTGGCTGAGGCTGGCTGTCACCCTGTGCCACAGACCTGAGCTGCACCAGCCCCAGCCTCTCTGTGCAGCCCCCTGTGCTGCCGCTGCTGAGCCGCTCCCCGTCAGAGACCAACCTGGGCAGCCCTGTGGAGCCCCCGGTGCCACTGGGGTCCCCCTCAGGTACCAGTGCTGGCAGGGTGGGTGTGTTCATTGCCCTGGGGAGTGCCAGCTGCTCCCCTGGGCAGGGCCAGGAGGGGCCCTGGGGCTGCTCCTGATGCTCCTCTCCCTGCAGGCCCAGCACAGACCTGGCCTCTCGTCTCCATGGCTCCCTCTTGGTTCACATCATCACCAGCAGTGACGCCAACGCTGACCCCCCAGGGGACCCCAGGGGGGCCTGTCCCCCCAGCCCTGCCCCAAGCCCTCCTGTCCCCCCAGGCTGTCCCCACACCCCCTGTTCCCTGTGAGCCCAGCAGTCCCCTGAGCCCCGCTGTGACCAGCACACCCTTGTCCCCCACTGCCCCCCTCTTGTCCCTGGCCAATGTCTTCTCCCTGGCAGTGATGACTGTGGCCCACACTGTCTCCTCCATTGCCAGCTCAGGTGGGCACCTGTACCCACCCCTGCTGCCACGGCCACAGAGCCTTGCCCTGGGTGCCCCACGCTTTGTGTACCCTGACCCCACCAGCACAGACAAGCCAGTCCCACCCGGCAGTGGGACCCCAGAGTCAGTGGGAGGTGCTGTGCCCACTGCTGGGGTGCCCATATCCCCCCTTCCCTTGGCACCAGCCCCAGCGTGCCCCCCAGGCAGCGAGGCCGTGGGGAGCCCTGTGCAGCTGCTGAGCACATCCACAGCTGGGAGTGCAGAGGGCAGCACGGTGAGTGTGAGTGCACAGGGGCTGTCCAGCAGGGCTGCGTGCTCGCTGCAGATGCTGCTCTGGGGTGGGATGGAGCCTCGTGGCTTCTGGAGCCACTGGGATGCAGGGAGGGCTGAGAGGGTGGCAGATGCCAGGGCACAGAGGGGAGCACAGGAGATGTGGCAGGACTTGGGGTGGGGCTGCTGAAGTACTCAGGTGCCCACAGGGGAGCACAGGAGATGTGGCAGGACCTGGGTGGGGCTGCTGAAGTGCTCAGTGCCCACAGGGGAGGACAGGAGATATGGCAGGACCTGGGTGGGGCTGCTGAAGTACTCAGGTGCCCACAGGTGCTGCCCGGTGCCCCCAAGCCCAGCCACTCTCTGATCATCTCGGAGGCTCCGGCCCCCAGCGTGCCCAAGGCGCAGCTGTCGCCCATCAATGAAGGTAAGGAGGGGCAGGGCAGAGGCTGTGCCAGGGCACAGCAATGCCCCTGTGCCCACCGCTGCCTCTGTCCCCAGCAGAAGCCAAGCCGCAGGTGCTGGGCC